TGGCCAGGCTGGTCTTGAACTCCTAACCTCATGATCCACTCACCTCAGCCTCCCAAAGTGCTGGGATTATAGGCGTGAGCCGCCACGCCTAGCCCCACACCTCCTTTTCTTATTTTATTATTATTATTATTATTATTGAGACAGAGTCTCACTCTGTGGCTCAGACTGGAGTGCAGTGGCGATCTCGGCTCACTGCAGCCTCCGCCTCCCTGGTTCAGGTGATTCTCCAGCCTCAGCCTCCTGAGTAGCTGGGACTACGGTGTGTGCCACCACACCTGGCTAATTTTTTGTATTTTTAGTAGAGATGAGGTTTCACTGTGTTAGCCAGGATGGTCTCGATCTCCCGACCTCGTGATCCACCCACCTCAGCCTCCCAAAGTGCTGGGATTACAGATGTGAGCCACCGCGCCCAGCCCCTTTTCTTATTTTGATAACAAATTTACTATCTTACAATTCTGCAGGTCATAACTCTGACACAGGTCTCAGTGGGCTCAATTAAGGTGTTGGCAAGACTTTGTTCCTCTCTGGAGGCTCCAGGAGAGTCTGTTTCCTTGCCTGTTCTGGCTGCTAGAGGCAGCCCACAGTCCTTGGCCAGTAGCCGCCTTCCATCTTCAAAGCCAGCTGTGGCTGCTGAACCCCTCTCACAGCGCATCACCCCACCTCTGCTTCCGTAACATGTTTCCCTCTCTGACTCCTACCCACTCCTCTTCAGACTGGGAAATCAAATCTGATTTTCCAGAGGTGCCTGATGGGGAGAGGAGCCACCTGGGCCTTCCAGCCCGGCCTCAACCACAGCCACTACCCTTCTATATGTTTTACAGAGAACAGTTATATTCTTAGAAAGGATTTCACTGCTTGAAACAACCACAAAGGAAGCAAAACAACAGTGGCTCAGAGTCAGGGCTGAGTCATGGGATCTGTGAGGCGGTTAGAGCGCCTGCTTGAGGGTCAGACGGCCACAGTTCAGATCCGACTCCATCCTGACCAGCAGGCTTCAAACAAGCTGCGTCACCTCCCGCTGCTTCCCAGAGCTGCTCGCTGGCCAGAGCCAAGCCAAGCCTTCCTCAGCCCTGTACACGGTGGGGTTATGACTCTTTCCTTTGGGGGTGTGTGTATGGTGGTTTAGAAGTCAGGCCCTTGAGGGAGACCCTGGCTTCAACACTTACTCTGAGGCTTTGGGCAAGTTATTTGACCTCCTTGTGCCTCGGTTTCCTCATCTGTAAAACAGGGATAATGACTGTACCAATTTGCATGGGGCCGTTTTGAGAATTAAATGAATGAATAATGTGTAAGGTGCTTGGAACAGTGTCCGGATCATTACAGGTGCTCAGTAGGCCGGGCGTGTGGCTCACACCGGTAATCCCAGCACTTTGGGAGGCCGAGGTGGGTGGATCACCTGAATTCAGGAGTTTGAGACCAGCCTGGCCAACATGGTGAAACCCTGTCTCTACTAAAAATACAAAAATTAGCTGGGCATGGTGGCACTGGCGCACACCTGTAATCCTAACTACTTGGGAGGCTGAGGCAGGAGAATTGCTTAAACCAGGGAGGCACAGGTTGCAGTGAGCCGAGATCATGCCACTGCACTCCAGCCTGAGTGACAGAGCAAGGGGATCTGTGGTGGCTCAGGCCTGTTGTCCCGGAGCATAAGGAGGCGAGACTAGGCTTTCAAGGCCAGCTTGGGCAACATAGAAACCTCTCATCTTTATAACCAAAAAAAAAAGACTCCATCTCAAAAAAAAAAAAAAGGATTAAAAAAAAAATGGTGCTCAGTAAGTTTTTACCCTTCATTATTATTACTATTACAGTTATCATCCTTGCCAAGTTGCTCAGATATAACACTTCTAAAGCTCGTAGGCACCCAACAAGAGTAGCCATTAATATGACAATAACTCAACTGTAGGAAGGAGGCTCCCTAGATCCCAACATCGGTGCAGAGATTAAATAAAATGATTAGAGCCCTGCCTAGGAGCGTGGCTCTCACGCAGTCCCTGTGGCAATCCTCACCCACCCCCAGTCCTGTTAAGGGTCCAGGTAGCCACATCACGTCAGGTCTAGGGCCTTGGCATCCACACAGCCCTCTCTAGAGAATGCCCCAGGGGATCCCGGTGTCAACACGCAGACTCTCGGAAGTGAGGGAATCGGGGGCTCTCGTGGTGGCTGTTGGGTGTGAGCTACTTTTGTTGTTTCCCATGGGGTCAGATCTTAAGCTCCCTCCCCGATGCCCCGTCCGATCTTGGTCTGCAGCCTCAGTCATGGAGCCTGGCAACTGGGACTGGAAAATCATATTTGCCCAGAGTGCACGGGGCAGGGCAGTGCTGGGAACTGGAATTTCCAGGGACGCGCAGAGCACACAGAGAACCCAACGTTCGGGCTCCATTTGAGAGGTGGAGAAGCTTGAGTGTCCCAGCCAGCTTCCTGCCTTGGGAGGGCTGCACACCGAGGACACCACCTCCAGCTGCTGGAGCCCTCCCAGGAGTCTCCCTGTCACATCCAAAGCCCAGATGCTCACATGGGGTGCTGGGATTTGGGATGGATGTAGTCTGATCCCAGGATCTTCCTGACAAGCCCAGTCTCTTTCGAATAAATCATTTGGCTTTCTTGCAATTTTCTCCTAAAGTCACGTACAAGGATAAAAGTAATCATGATTAACTCAAAGTCCCAGTTAGACTTCTGGCTAACTGGGATTCTGACCTTTCTTCTCTCCTCTCTGGCTATCGGGGAAAGTCCTCCACACCTTGTTAAATGGACGAAAGCCCTCTTTGCTCACAAGCCACATAGCAGGAGGGCCACAGCGATCCCTGCCAAGGGAGTGTGAATTTCTTGTCAGTGTGTATCAAGGGTCATGAGGGAGTTGAGAAAGGGATGTGATGTGATGTGAGTGGCCCCTCGCACCCTCCCACTGCCATAGAGCAGCACGGAGCACAGGCTCAGTAACTGGAGGAAGAGGAAGGTCCTTCATATCATCTTCCTACAGGGGAAACAAGCATGTTTGCTGAGCACTTACTCTGCCCTGGCCACACTCACTCCTCACGACAGTGCTCTACGGCACTGTCATCACTCCCACTGTACAGATGGGAAAACTGAGACCCGGAGAGGTTAAGCCACGTGAGCAGTCAGCGGCAGAGCTGGGATGTTTTAACCAGGTCACACTGACCCTACCGTCCCGTTTTTTCTGCTCTGCCCTCCAGGGTTCGTTAAAGAAAGCCATGTACACAAGCATCTGTGGTTTGGTAGTCAGGGAAATCTTGAGTTAAGGAGTCCAGATGATGGAATATTGGCCCCTGGGGGCAGCAGGTGGCTTCATCTGCTCTGCATGTTTCAGATTAGAAATTTAAACACTCGAGGGAAAAGCCGGCTTGTTTTCCCCCCTCTCTCAGAGATAAGCTTCGGCTGGGCCCTTAGCCGGGCTCCCTGGGCTCTGAAAACAAGGGACCATTGCTGTGGGAGAGAAGGCTCAGGATCAATGCAGGGTGGTGGTTGTGGATTGGGAGAGAGATGGCTGCAGGGGGCTGAAAGCCCCAGGAACATCAGTCCCTCACCCAGCGCCACCTCAGCTGGCCCCATTAGCGCACATCTCATCCATAAGATCTGATTATGTCAGAGGCGCTTAGCTGAGTCCAAAACTGGGGGACATGCAGGCCCTGGCTTTCCTCACTGGGAGCTGAAGGGCAGATTAAACTTGGGTGACCGGATGCCTTGGATCTCCAGCTTATAGTGTCCCCTCACTTGTGTTCTCTAGATGGCATCTATTATGGAGACAATCGGTTTAACACAGTGAGCGAGTCAGGAACAGCCACGCTGAAAGCTCGGCCAAGAGTCCGGCCCCTGCTGACCTTCCTTCCGCTGGTGAGTACGATTCTGCTCTGAGGTTGGAGGGTCTGCTCTGGGTGGGGACACCAGGCCTGCCCCAGCCTGAGTGGACATCAGCTGCACCCTCCACCCACCCCTTCCTTCCTGATGCTGAAGGGGGGCTACTGGAAGGAGGCATGGCCGAGGCTCACAGCAGGAAGTTTAGGATTAGGGATGCCAGCTTGTTCAGGGCCAAGCCCAAGGAGAAGTTATGGAGAACTTGTGTGCAGGAGTGATATAGCAGTGGGTACCCTCAGCCAAGCAGGGTTCATTTTCCACAGTCACTGATGACTGTCTGCTTTGTGCCAGGCCCTGCATTAGGTGCTGGATACAGAGATGACTGGGCCAGCGTTGCTGTTCTCAAGGAGCTCCTTGCCCACTGCAGGAGACAAATATATTTTGCTTAACCCAGTATATTCAAAAGAGTGTCATTGCGGGAGGCGTGCTGGCTCACGCCTGTAATCCCAGCACTTTGGGAGGCCAAGATGGGTGGATCACGAGGTCAGGAGATTGAGACCATCCTAGCTAATATGCTGAAACCCTGTCTCTACTAAATATACAAAAAAAAAAAAAAATAGTCGGGTGTGGTGGCAAGCACCTGTAGTCCCAGCTATTCGGGAGGCTGAGGCAGGAGAATGGCGTGGAGCCGGGAGGCGGAGCTTGTGAGCCAAGATCGCACCACTGCACTCCAGCCTGGGTGACAGAGCAAGACTCTATCTCAAAAGAAAAAAAAAAGAGTGTCATTACAACATTCAATCAATATAAAAAATACTAATGGGCTATTTTACATTCTTTTTTTCATACTAAGTCTTTAAAATCTGGGCCGGGTGTGGTGGCTCACGCCTGTAATCCCAGCACTTTGGGAGGCTGAGGCGGGCGGATCACAAGGTCAGGAGTTTGAGACCAGCCTGGCCAATATGGTGAAACCCCATCTCTACTAAAAATACAAAAAAAAAAAAAAAAATTAACCAGGCATGGTGATGGATGCCTGTAGTCCCAGCTACTCGGGAGGCTGAGGCAGGAGAATCGCTTGAACCCGGGAGGCGGAGGTTGTAGTGAGCCGAGATTAGGCCACTGCACGCCAGCCTGGGAGACAGAGCAAGACTCTGTCTCAAAAAAAAAAAAAATCTGGTGTACTACTTATATAGCACATCCCGCTTCTGACTGAGACATGTTAAGTGCTCAATGGCTGCTTGTGGCCAGTGGCTGCTTACTAGACAGCCCAGGCCAGAGCCAGTCTAAACACCAGGCTCCTAGATTTGAGGCTCACTCCTGTCTGTCGGACCTGGGTCATGGGTGGCACAATGCTGTCACCGGGGTCACGGCATCTTCTTGCCTCCATGAGGGTTTAGTACTGCCTGGACTGAAAGGCCCCTTGCCCTGGTCTGAGCTCTCAGGAGTCTGTTAGACTTCATGGCACCCCACACATTCATCCTGGGTCCCCATACCTCCTGCCTAGCACTGCCTGGCACAACCACCTTCCTCTCCCCATCACCAATTTTTTCTGCTATGTCCAACCTCAACAATCAGACCTAAGATTCTAGATGGGACAGAGGCAGTCTTACATTCTCCTTGCTGCATTTCTAAGGCCTCTCTGTGGAGGGCTGAGCACACAGATCTCTGGGAATACAACTTTAAATAATTTATTTTCTGCTTATAAAAGCAATTTGTGGACAATATAGATAAATATAGAAAGAGGCACACCAATATAGAAAACACCACCAACAAGGTATAAATCAAATAAGTCAGCTTGGAATCCTAGCACTTTGGAAGGCCAAGGTGGGAGGATCACTTGAGGCCAGGAGTTCAAGACTAGCCTGGGCAATATAGCCCAACCCTATCTCTACAAAAAATTTAAAAATTAGTCAGTTGTGGTGGTGTGTGCCTATAGTCCCAGCTACTTGGGAGGCTGAGGCAGGAGGATGGCTTGAGCTCAGGAGGTTGAGGCTGCAGTGAACTATGATTGCACTACTGCATTTCAGCCTGGGTGACAGAGTGAGACCCTGTCTTAAAAACAAAGAAAAAAAAAAATGAGTCAGCCCCTAACTTTGTTTCCAGAGAATGCATAAAACTCTGACAGAAGTGATTGCACCCATAAATGCAGATAAAATCAGTTTGAAATATTCCTTTTTTTTTTTTTCCCAGACTGAATTTTGCTCTTGTCACCCAGGCTGGAGTGGTGCAATGGTGTAATCTCGGCTCCCTGCAACCTCCACCTCCCAGGTTTAAGCGATTCTCCTGCCTCAACCTCCCAAGTAGCTGTAATTACAGGCGCCCACCACCACTCCCAGCATTTTTTTTTTGTATTTTTAGTAGAGACTGAGTTTCATCATGTTGGCCAGGCTGGTCTCACCTGGTCTCCTGACCTCAGGTGATCCACCCACTTCAGTTTCCAAAGTGCTGAGATTACAGGCTGAACCACTGTGCTCAGCCTGAAATATTCTATATTGGGAGGTTAATTAGATTCTCTCCTGTCACTTACCCTCAACACACATACCCAGATTCATAGTAGTGTGGGCCCAGGGTTGACATACCTCTACCAGTCGGTAAAATACTAAAACATTCATCTGTAAAATGGGAATAAAAAAAAAATTACTGAAATACGGCCAGGCGTGGTGGCTCACTCCTGTAATCCCAGCACTTTGGGGGGCCGAAGTGAGCGGATCATGAGGTCAGGAGTTCGAGACCAGCTTGGCCAACGTGCTGAAACCCCGTCTGTACTAAAAATACAAAAATTAGCCAGGTATGGTGGCACGCACCTGTAATCCCAGGTACTCAGGAGGCTGAGGTAGGAGAATTGCTTGAACCTGGAGGCGGAGGTTGCAGTGAGCTGAGATGGCACCACTGTACTCCAGCCTGGACGAGAGAGCAAGACTCTGTCTCAAAAACAAACAAACAAACAAAAAAACACGACAGAAATACTTCTCTACAGAGTAGAAATGGCTGTTGCCCCTGGAGTGGTTCCTGCTGTCCTGCCCCTCCCCTAGATCTGGACCACCCCCAAAAGCAGCAACTAAAGAGTTAATGTGGTCCCAGCTGAGTTCATTCTGATTGGTCGGCATCCTTATCTCCCCCCACCTATCTGCTGCGGGCCCCTCAAGGACCAGGGCAGATCCTCGCCTGCCAGCCCTCCCAGGCTCTGGTTTGGATCTGGTCTGGGCAGAACATGACTCAGGGGCTGCACAGACCCCAGGCAGGCCTGGCCAAAGGCTCCGGGGCCCCTGGAGTGGGCTGGGCTAGCTGGGCAGGCCTGAGTTCCAGCTTGTCCTGGGAAAGTGCTTCCTGGGAGCAGTTCTTTTGTGCAAGCCTCAGAACCAGTCCCAGGAAAAGGGGGCTTCTCCCTAAAAACTTACGCCCCCTCACTGGTGAGGGTGAGAGAATGGACACCTGGTGAACCGATGGCTGAAAGGGGCCTCATTTTACAGAGACAGGAACTGAACCAGGAAGGGGAAGTTTACCCGTTCCCTCAGTGCTGGCTAACTGGGCAAAGGCAGGCAGAGCGACTTGCCGACCCCATCCAGTGGCACGGCCTGTGATCTTGGCCACCACGTGCTGAGTGCTCACTGTGCGCCAGGCACCATGCCACGTGGACCACGTGTGTTAACAAAGCCACCCTTCGAGCAAGGTGCTGTTATTAATCCCCATGTTACAGGCAGAGAAACTGAGGCACAGAGGGGAGTAACTTGCTTAAGGTCATGCGGCTAAGTGATAGAGCCGTGACTGGAATCCCTGAAGCCAGGCTCCAGGATCCAAGTTCTATTCAGGCCGTTCTACTCTCCCTCCACTCACTACATAGAAGCTTTTTTCTTCTCCTTCCAGGACCAGGCGGCAAAACCACTTCCACCTCCCTTGCCTGCCTCTCTGAATCCCTGTCCAGCAGTCTGGGTCTGCCGGGCACCAGGCCTCTTGCCTCTTTCGGCTCATAGATGCTTTTGACCTATGATGAGGCTGTGAGTCACATACACCTAGTTTTGCTTACAATTTCAGCAGGGGACTAAAGCCCTCCCATGATGTGCCTTCAGATTAGGAACCCTTGGCCCAGTGGCCTGCATCACAGGGACTGTTCTGTGCTCCTCACTCAGGTCACAAGATAGGGCAGCTTCCATGCCGTTTGTTGCCTGCTCCCGGGTGGAGGGGAATCTGGCTGGCAGCTTAATTCTCTCTTGTCTGACCTGACTCCTCTCCTGCAGGCCCTAGCCAGGTCCTTTGCTTTCTTTCAGCAGGGACAGAAGGCTGGGAGGATGGGGAGGATTGGCTCAAAAGCGTCTGTGTGCCAAAAGAAGCGAGCTCTGTGTGGGTGTGGGCTCACACACACATGCACACGCACACACCCCGTCCCCCAGCCCCGCCAAGTCAGGGTGGGTGGGGAGCTGGGACAGTGCCTAGCCCTGCCTGACACTGTCCTAGCCGGCCGGGCCTCCACCCCTCCCTGTCCTCCCTTCCCACATTCAGAGGCATCTCTCAGGCCAGGCTGCCCAGTGCGAAGGGGAGGTACGGGGTAGCAGTGCCCAAGAAGTCAGGTGACAGGCCCCACGAGGGCCTGTGAGCTCTCTCCAGGCCTGGGCCATCCTCTGAGCCCACCCTCCCTGTCAGTGCCCTACAGGAGCCTGCCAGGGGACAGGGCTAGAGAGAAGGGGACAGGGCAGCGACAGGCACACTCCTGCCCCCTTCCCCAGAGCTCCCTCGCTCTGTGTGCTGAGGGTGCTGGGAATTACGAAGTGTTTCTCAGGCATCCGGCAGCCAAAGGCCAGCTAAAAAAAGGACCTCGGGATCCCTCAGTGGCTGGGATGGGACCAGGGGCTGAGACTCCAGCAGCTGGTACCAGTCCCAGCTCTGCTGCTGGGATTCGGGGTGGCTGCAGGCCAGCCCCTTCCTCTCCCTGGGCCTCTGGCTTCTTGCCCAACAGTGGGGGTCATACTGCATGGTCCTCAAGGGTCTCCCCAGCCACGACTATCTGTGTTAAAATGACTTCCTAACGGAAGGGTAGACGGTGTGGTCAGCTCCCTGGAGGGCCACTGGAGAAGTCAGGCCCTAACGACACATGGAACCCTCCTTGAGCTCTGTTTCCACCTCTGGAAAGGGAGGTTTTCCAGCTACTGGGGCAACCCCACCTTCCTGCTTGGGGATCCCTGAGGAGCTGAATTTGAGCCACCAAACTTCAGAGGTGGGAGGACTACAGCAGTTGTCAAGGTCAACGTGAGAACACTGAGGCCTGGGGAGGGGAGGGCCCTGCCCAGGCCACTGGGCTCGATAGAAGCAGGGACAGGAGCCAGGCCTTCTCCCCAGGCTGGCCCTGTGCCCTGTGTACACCACCGGAGGTCTGGCTGAGTGAGGGGTGATCCTTTCTCCCTCCTTCTCAGGGAGACTGGGCCCAGAGAGCAAGCTGGAGCCTGTCCCTCTGTTTCTTTTTCTTCTTTTTTTTCTTTTTTTTTTTTTTGAGACGGAGTCTTGCTCTGTCACCCAGGCTGGAGTGTAGTGGCACAATCTTGGCTCACTGCAAGCTCCGCCTCCCGGGTTCACGCCACTCTCCTGCCTCAGCCTCCTGAGTAGCTGGGACTACAGGCGCCCGCCACCACGCCGGGCTAATTTTTTGTATTTTTAGTAGAGATAGGGTTTCACTGTATTAGCCAGGATGGTCTCTCTATCACCTGACCTCATGATACGCCCACCTCGGCCTCCTGAAGTGCTGGGATTACAGGTGTGCACCACCGCGCCTGGCCTGTCCCTCTGCTTCTGAGAGCTGGGTCCATAGAACATTGGGTGGCAGCAGGGTTGTATTTTCTGGGGTTCTCTCTCTTGCCCTCCCCAGTCTGAATCAAGCCATCTCCAGGGTGATGCATATGAGGAATTAAAAATTAAATGTCAGTGTGGCAAATACGGGAAAACTGGCCCAACAGGTCCCCAGGGGTGCCCTGGGCGGTGAGAGCTGCCTGGGTCACCCCACCCTCTGAGTCAGACAGGCCTGGCTCTGCCAGAAGAGGCATCCCTAGGCTCAGGCAGGAGGCCTCGCCTGCCCTGCACCCTTCCCTTAGTCCTTGCTGCTGGAGAGGCAGCTGGAGTCAGCCCCATCTCTCCTTTCCACCCAGCCCGCTGCTGCAGGAACTCTTCTCTAAACTCAAGGCCCAGGCACCTTTTAGGGGTGGAATCTGAGCTCTGTAGGGTGAGTCAGGCAAAGCAGCCATGATTGGCTTTTGGCTGGTTTGTGCGGATGATGTTAGGCCAAAGGGTTGTGGGGTGTGGGGTGTTAGGCCTGCCACAAGAGTGCAAACGGAGCTCCACACCCCCTTCTCTACCCACTTGGCTCCTTCCCTCTCATTAAGGACCTCAGCCTGAACCTCCAAAGTTCCATCCAGGCCCATAAACCTCCATCCTTCATCCTGGCCCATAAACAGCCGCCCCTTTGTCCCCATGGACAGATGTGTGCCCCCTTCAGGAGGACTGGCCAGGGAAGAAGCCCTTGAAGCGGGCTCAGGGCCATTTAGGCAGGGTCTCGAGGGACGTGGTGTGCCCTCTGGGGGCATGTCCCCCTCATCCTACTGACTTCTTGCCCCAGAGAGAGGGCAGACCAGGGCCCTCCATAGTACCCGGTGGAGGGCAGAAGCCATGGTAACCTGGGTCTAAGGGTGGTTCTCAGATGGTAGATAGGTCCAGAGGAAGATGGTTCATGGGTGAACACTCTTTTCTGGCCCCCAGGAGGGGTCTGAGCTGTGGCAGAGTGTCGGGCTGTGTTGGGGAAATAATCCGTCTCCTTTATAAACTGCTCACTAGCTCCCAACTTCACAGCTGCTCTGCAGGATACACACAGCCCGTCTCGATCTTCTACCACCTCCACCAGGCCAGCACCCCCACACTGCACCCCTAAGCCAGGAAAACAACTGGCTGGGCTTCATCTAGTTGGGTATGTTGGGTGCCTAGAGGGGTTTCTGTGTAGTTCTTGATCTGAGGCAGAGGTGGGGGCTCCCAGCTTCCTTTTCTTTTTCTTTTTTTTTTTTTTTTTGAGACTGAGTCTGGCTCTGTTGCCCAGACTGGAGTGCAGTGGCCGGATCTCAGCTCACTGCAAGCTCCGCCTCCCGGGTTTACGCCATTCTCCTGCCTCAGCCTCCCGAGTAGCTGGGACTACAGGCGCCCGCCACTTCGCCCGGCTAGTTTTTTGTATTTTTTGGTAGAGATGGGGTTTCACCGTGTTAGCC